AGGTCTCAAGTGGATAGCCACATGATGAATCTTTGCTTGATGCTAGGTATGGGGTAGAAAAAGAGTCAAAAAAATATTGTCAATAACAAAAAAGAGAAATCAAGAAACTTCACATGATCTTGATTTTTCAGGTTCTCTTGAAAACTGATAATATGTAAAAAATATGACCCAACTTTCCCCACTAATAACCATCTGGCTGTCAGTAAGCCTGGTAGGTGATATTTCAATGGCTCCCAATTCCAGCTGTCATCACAAGCTTGATTTTCTAACATACTGACAAAAATTCCACAAAAGTCATATCAACAAATATAAGAACCCAGAATTAGTAATATTTTTCTAGATTACAGGGAGTGCAGAATCCAGAGCATGCTTCCTGTGTGGGCTGGAGGTCCAAGTCTCTGATGTCAACCTCCCACTTTCTTCTTTACAAATTAAGCCTGAGAAATTCACAAAAGAAGCATTTCACTAATGAAGAACTGTTTAAAAGAAATGACACAAAAATCTTTAGGACTTAAATCTGGCAAAAACCAGACAGAATTGATGTATTTATATATCATTGCACTCAACAAAAGAATCTTTACCAAGTGTCACATAGAACATTTATCAAGGTAGACCACATACTAGGCCATAAAGTGCTGCTATAATTTAAAAAGTACTCAGGCTATACAAAGTATAGTCTCTGACCACAGTGAGGTTCAATTAGGAATCAATAACCAAAAGATATATGAAAAAAAACTGTAAATATTTAGCTGACATCAACACTTCTCAATAATCCATAGATTGGAAAAAACAAAGGAGACATAGAAACTGTTTTGAACTAATTGAAAAATGAAAAAAGCCAGCACATCAAAATTTGTAGGATGCTTTTAAAGCAATGCGAGAAAGAATTAATAGTACTAAATATTTATGTTAGAAAAGATAAAAAAGATAAAAGAAATCTTGAATCAATATAAAGGGCCTGTAACCAAATGCACTGGGTGTGCCCAGTGTTGAATGCAAAGCCAATAAGGATGACCAGGGGGTAAAAGGATGGAAAACCTTTTCTCACTTATGCAGGGAGAACACTGGAGCTAATTCTCAAAGCAGCCCTCTCCTTGAACAAAGAAAGCAAAGGGCTTTTATTGGAGAATCTCATTCCTGTTGGGAAAAGTTGTTATCACATGTAGTAGTGGTCACATCCCTGAGCATTGTAGTTCAAGGTCATCCTTCTTCATGCATCATGTGTTCTGGCACAGTGGGGGCTGGAGAGATGACTCAGTGGTTAAGAGCACTGGCTACTCTTGCAGAGGACCCAGGTTTAATTCCCAGAACTCACATGGTGACTAACAACCTTCCTTAACTCGAGTTCCAGGGGAACTCCATGCCCTCTTCTGACTTCCTCGGCATTGCAGGACACGGGCATACTTACATACATGCCCATACACATAAAATAAAAATAATAAAGTATTTTAAAACATGGCAAATGGGTGCACTGCTGGATGGAGGATTTGGTGCTCTATTCAGCTTGTATTGAGCCATGTTCATACTGTGTCACCTAGGAGTGGGCTGCTGGGAGTGAAGGGCCAAGTGCTTTGGCTTCTTTCCTCTAGAAGGCCTTCTATGTGGCAGAAGGGCCTTGAAGCTGAGTCGGGGGTGGGGAGGTACCTACGAGCTAGCACTTAGGGAGCTGAGGCAGGAAAATTATAAAATTGAGGCTAACCTAGGTTATATAGTGAGGCTTTGTCTCAAAAACCAACCAATCAAATGCTCTATCCCCCCAAATCCAAACCAAGTCAAACCAAACAACAAAGACCCAAAACAGCCTTGAAAACAGAGCTACTTAAAGAGACAGCAACATTTTTCCTGTAAGTACAGGACCTTGCACATAAAAATACCCATCTAGAAGGTAACAGATCTAAAAATGCCAAAACAATCTTTCTGAATAGAGAATTATATTCTTTGCTAGTTTTAATTGGTATATAAAATAATGGGTTTCATCATGACTTTTCATACGTGTGTATTCCACAGGTATCCTTAAATCTAGATTCCAAGTATGAGAGAAGGTGATGTCCTGTTCTGTCTCCCCCTGCCCATTATCCTCTTGTTCTTCCCTTTCTCCCTCTAGAACTCTTCCTTCCCCACTTCCACGGTCCCTTTGACTTTTGTGTTGTATAAGAAGTGTATATATATTTAAACCTTGAGTCTGCTTATGAGAGAAAATATGCAACATTTGTCTTGCTGGGTCCGATTTATTTCACTTAACATAATGATCTCCAGTTTCATCCATTTTCCTGCAAATGACATAATTTCATTCTTCTTTATGGTTGAATAAGCTCCATTATGTACAAACACTACATTTTCTCTATTCACCTGCTGATGAGCATCTTTGTGGTTCTATTTCTGAGCTATTATGAATAATGAAACAATAAACATGGTTGTGCAAGTACCTCTGTGGTGTGCTGACATAAATGCCTTTGGCTGTACACCCAGGAATGGAATAGCTCTATTTTTAGTTTTTTAAACAAACTTTTTAAGAGGTATGTGCGTGCATGCATGCGTGCGTGTGTGTGTGTGTGGTGTGTGTGGTGTGTGTATGTGTGGTGTGCCTATAGAAGTCAGAAGATAACGTTGTGGAGCCTGTTCTCTCCTTTTACCTCTATGTGGGTTCTGGTAATTGAATTCAGCCTTGTGCTGAGTCATCTCACCAGTTCCTATTTTTAGTTTCTTGATAAATCACCACACTGATTCCATAGTGGCTTCATTAGTTTGCATTCCCACCAGTAGTATATAAAGGTTTCTCTTTCCCACATCATTGACATCATTTCTTGTTTTCTTAATGACAACCATTCTGCCTGGGACCAAAACAATTTTTTTAAAAAAAGGTGGAAAATTAATATTACTTGATTTTAAGATTCATTATAAGGCTACACTATTGAAAGTATCATTTATGAAGTCCAAAATGGATAAAGCTAAATGCAGTGGTCACAATATAGCCTCCTAGCTACTCAGCAGAAAAGGCAGAGGATGCCTGGGCCGAGTCTGTTGAGGCCAACCTGAGAGTAACAAAGGGAGACTCTGTCAAATGGAAAAAGAAAAATAAGAAAAGAACTAGATTAGACTTCATCAAAAATCACACACATTTGTTCTTTAATGTCACCACTAACAAAATGAAAAGATAATTCAGAAGCTTGTGGAAATATTTAAAAAAACACATTCTTGATTAAAGATTTGCATTTAGAGTATATTTCAGGTACTCTCAAGACTCAATAAGAAAACAACAATCTAATTAAAAATGGGTGAAAGATCTGAACGCTTACCCATCTCCCCTATAAAAACAAGAGGGTTGGAGAGATGGCTCAGGGGTTGGGAGCACTTGCTGCTCTTCCACAGGATCCAAGTTCAATTCCCAGAACCTACATCCAATGATTCACAGCTAGCTGTAACTCCAGCTTCAGGGAATTTAACACCCTATTCTGACCTCCAGGATGCCTGCTTACATGTGTACATACCTACACATAGATACACATAAAAATGAAATCTTTTGCCAGGCATGGTGGCATACACCTTTAATCCCACCACTCAGGAGGCAGAGGCAGGCAGATCTCTGTGAGCTCAAGGCCAGCCTGGTCTACATAGTGAGTTTCAGGCCAGCTGAGGCTACAGGGTGACCCTGTCTCAAAAAGATAAAAAATAATGAACCCTTTTTTAAAAAAAGAAAGAGGATGGTGAGTATGTATATGAAAAGATACTCAACACCTTTAGTCACTGTGAAACACTCATTTAAACCATAATGAGATACTGCTAATCTCTTCTAAGATGGCTAGATGTAAAAGGCCACATCAGGTATGGTAAAAATGCAGAGGAACTAGAACTCTCATACTTTATAGATGGGAATATAAACCTGTACAACCTTCTTGGAAAAGAGTGTGAAAATTTCTTGTTTATTCACTTATTTATTTAGACTTTATATGGATGAGTGTTTTGCCTGCATGCATGTAAGTGCAATGCCCCTGGTGGCCAGGAGGGCATTGGATCCCCTGGAACTGGAGTTAGGGATGGTTGATAGCTGCCAAGTAGTTGCTGGGAACTGAACCTGGAGTTTCTGCAAGAGCAGACAATGCTCTTAACTGCTGGCTGAGACATCTCGCCAGACCCAAGTGTGAAAGTTTCTTTAAAAAAAAAAAAAAAGAAACCCAGGGCTTGGGGAGATAGCTCTATTGGTAAAGCACCTGCTTCTCAAGCATGAGGATGTGTTCTGATTCCCAGCACCCATGTAAAATAGCTGGGTGTAGTTGTGTGTTCCTGTAACCCTAGAGCTAGTGAGCCAGAGTCAGGAGGATCCCTGGAGCATGCTGGTCAGCCACCTAGCACCTAGCACCTAGCACCTAGCACGAGGTTAAGTGAGAGACACTATCTCAGAAGATAAGACAGAGATTGACAGTGGAAGACACCCAAAGTTTATTGCTGGGTCCACATGGATGTGCACACACATGTACACATACCTGCATGCATACTGTGGTGGTTTGAATGAAAATGTCCACCATAGGCTCCAAATATTTGGATATTTTGCCCCCATTTGGGGGCACTTTTTGGGAAGGTTTTAGGAGGTGTGGCCATGCTAGAGGAAGCACGTCACTGGGGGCCGGCTTTCTGCTTCCTGTGCTTGCTTGAAGATGTGAGCCTCTGCTTTCTGCTCCTGCTTTGGTCACCTCCTGTCCCCATGCCTCCCCTCCATGGACTCTAACCCGTCTGGAATTGTAAACTCAAACACTTCCTTCTGTAAGTTTCTTTGTTCACAGTGCTTTATCACAGCATCAGTAACTAAGACATAGACTCATAACAGTATACACACAAGTAAAACTCATACCTACTACAGATCTGTAGTCATTTTCCTCTTATTTGTCCAAGAGAAAAGAAAGCATATGTCCATACACAGTTGTGTGTATGGAGATTTATTGCAGCTTTATTTGTAATATCCAACATTGCCACTAGCAGGTGATTGTTAAACACATCTTGATCTAGTGCTTGTTTCGGCAGCACATACACTAAAACTGGAATGATACAAAGATTAGCATAGCTTCTGTGTAAGAATGATATGCAAATTTGTGAAGTGGTCTGTGTTTTTTAACATTTGCATGACTAAAAATGTAAAAAAATCAGTCTATATATATACTGAACTCAGCAATAAAAAAGAATGAACCATCAGCCCATGCTTCACCATTAGTGAATATCAAATTAAGTTTGCTAATTGAAAAACTCAGGTAAGAATAGTATACAGTGCATTATTGCATTTACACAAATTCTAGAACAATGCTAAATCTATTGTGACAGCAAACAGATGAGCATAATTTAAAAAATTCATTGCTCAGAAGGAAGTGGAGGTAGAAGGCAGGACTGTAGAGATCTGCTGGGTACTTCTTTCTAGCCTCTTAGATTCTGTCATTGAGTCCAAGAATTATACAGCATGCACAAAATGAGTTAACAGAAAAAAGCATCTTATTTTTAATATGTTTACATGTACACATGCCTCCAGCTCAAAACTGCCAGTACTTCAAAGTGGCATTTGTTGGGGTGGCATATTCAGAACACTTTCAGAGTGGAAATTTGAGTGGTGAAGGTTTCATGGGAGACTCAAACTTCTGAAGCTGTACACATAAATTGCAGGCATGTGACCTTCCTTTGGTCAGTTATGCCTCAGTAGAGTTTATTTGTGTTTTTCTTATATACATTATTATTTTTATTTTATGTGTATGAGTGTGTTGGCTGCATGTATGTAAGTGCACTTGTGTCATTCAAAGTCCTTGGAGGTCAATAGAGGGTGTCAGATCCCCTGGAACTGGAGTTACTGATGGTCGTTAACTGCCATGTGGATGCTGGGAATTGAACCTGGGTCCTCTGCGTGAGCAGTCAGTGCTCTTAACAACTGGACTATCTCTCCAGCCCCTTTTCTTTCTTTCGTTTTTTTTTTTTTTAAACAAATTCATGAATGATTCCTCCTGAGCTCTGTGCTCAGGTGTTGCATGCACTGGATTTGGGTGCCACAGGGTTGGGTGATGAATGGGTTAGTGCACCATCATCACTGAGCTTTCCACAGGAAACATCCTCAGTGCTGAAGAAGACTTCCCATGCAGGAAACTTTCATGCAAAACTGAATGTACCTTTCTCCAGGCAATGTCAGAAACTAAAAAAATCACTAGATTTTGAGTCTGCTGAGGCAGAGACCATTTATCACTGAGCCCGGTGACCCTGGAAGTATTTGACCCAGAGCTTGGTAGGTGATATGCTGAAATGAACTAGCTGGAATCATAATGCCATCAGCAGTTAGAGATTAACTTGATGTTTCCAGCTGTGCAGCCTGAGGAGTTTTCAGAGACTCAGGTGCAGCCTGATGTTTGCTGTAGAAACCAATTTCAGGATAAGCCAGTATGAAGCAAAGTTGAGATTTATTAAGAAAGGTTCATCATGTAGATGCACATGTAGGGTTCAGTAAGGAAAATATAGCACAAGCTTGGATTTAAGCGTGGGATTGGTGTGTGGGGGGGAATCTAAGGACAACAGTACATATCCCAAGGAGGGGTGGATGTAGGGTTCCTCAAAATTAGAGTCATAACTGAGCTGGGGAGATGGTGCAGTCCATAAAGTGCTTGCCTTTCAAGTATGAAGATCTAAGATTGATGCCCAGCACCCACATAAAAGCTGGATGGAATGGTGTTCACCTGTAACCTCAGGACTGGGGAGGCAGACACAGGAAATCCCTGGGACTTGCTGGCCAGCCAGTCTAACCAAATTGGTAAGCTTCAGATTCAATGAGAGATTCTCTCAAAAAGTAAGGTGAAGAACAATTGTGGTAGGTACTTGATGATGACCTTTGGCCTCCACATATACATACAGGCACACACACAGGAATATGTCCACACATACAATAGAAAAATTAATTCCTAAATGTA